TTTGCAGAACGTCGCCAATTGGCGTAGTTATCGATGAAACGGATTGTGAATAGAGTACATATCGGCACCGAACGCAGCGACGCGGGCACGAAATGAGAAACGCTTGGGTGCGGAATGACGGCCTTGTTACGCTACAGCTTGTGCACTTTTCCGCACCGAAAACGATCCTCAAACGGCTTGTTTATCGGTGCAAAGGTGGTGCGAACACGCACACACACACACACAGGGTTATCAGCAGATGAAAAAATGCTGCCTGATCTATATCGAGAGTCATTCGGTCGTGTACTGGGGAGTCACGATCGAGCAGACTGCAACACAGGCAAACTTTGTGGTGCAGGTGCATTGTTACCATGCAAGGACCGCTTGAGCCGAGCCCACTCCCTCGTCTGCACCAAGACCGGCGCCTCAACCTTCCTCCATAACAGGATGGTTCGAGTAGTCCTCAAGACACTGCGCGAGTGCCATATGCCCATCGCCGTTGAGGATTCTTCCCCTTTTACCACAGGCACTGGTAGGGGAAAGGGGCTATACAAGATGGATTTGGTAATCCCCCCAGGATTACACGCAGGAGAGAAGGAAGAGGACCTCTGCACCAAGTCCATTCTGATCGACGTAACAATCGTCAACCCATCAGCAGGTCGAAGCATCGACAAGTCGATCCTTAAGCCAGGATCAGCCCTCGAAGATCGAGCTGCAAGTAAGGCAAATCACTATGCGGGAACTTTCAACCCGTCTAGATCTACCCTCCTTACTGCTGCTTTTTCAACGAATGGTGGTCTTGGCAAAGGCACCAATCGACTCATCGTTGCTATCGCCAACCACTTGGCGCACGAAGCTTTTTGCCGGGGAAATTTTGACGACGAGAGGGCCTTAGTTCGCCTGAAAGCTTTTCATACTAACAGGATTCGGAGACGGTTTACCTTCGAGCTAGCTCGTTTTCTGTCGATGCGAACTCGCGATGTGTTCAAACGTCATGGGCTACTGATCGACCAACTTCCACCAGGGCCAATCGGTTGGGATCTCTGCGACAACGATAGTGGTGAGAGTAATTCTTTTGGGAGTGACGAAGACGAAGGAAAGGGAAAGGGGAGAAAGGAGGATGACGACGACGGAGCAGAAAAACATGGAGGAGTGGAAGAGAGCAAAGGGTTTGAGCCAGATGACCTTCCCCACAACAAGAAACGTAGGGCTAGGGAAGAACTGCCCAGAGATTCTTCTTGTCGAAATGAGGATCAGAATGATGGTAGCGAAAACAAGGAGGACACTGGTGAAAGTACTCCTAAACGAACTCGAGTACTAGGTAATAGCCTTGGTAGACGCGTGCATTTTTCGTCTGTTGCTGCTGTTTCTGTTTTTAATCCGAAGGATAGTTTAGCCTCCCCCATGCTGCCCCCTCACGGGGTCCCAGTTCATGGTAGATAGAAGTGTTTTGTGTTTTCAACCGCACTAAGACTGACGTCTTTTCATTGGTCAGCCGGTTAGCGCGGTCGATGCTAATAATAAAAGCACACACACACGGACATCAATTTGAGAACAGTAATTTATTCAGGGGTCGGGCTGACAGGCGGTGTTGTTCAACGTGCGCAGAACCCAGGCGGGGAAACTAAAGGACCCATCTAAAACAGTTTTTTTGCGAAAAAAAAACTCCGCTATCGCTTCGGTTCTTTTTTCGCACGCGCGCTTCGTGCGCGGAAAAAACTCCTATTGAACCAATACGAAGTACAACAACATATGTAGGACTTATTTCTACTGTCACTTACATCGTAAAAATATCTCCTCTTCAACTTGAAATAAAACCAATGACAATCCTTATGGTATCCTACATGCGTTCGTAAGCTTGCTAAAATACTACTGCGTTGATGTCCTCTTGTAAAAGCTGAAATCCAACAAATGCTTTGATCCATGCTACATCTCCGTGTTGGAAAAGCCCTTTCATCTCCGTTCATGATAACATCTTACCCTATTCTACGCAAATCTGTCACATCTACTTTCAAACAAGACGCCAACTTCAAACGAAAACGCGTTCTACGATGCGTCTACACTCCATCCCCATATCATTGGCGTTGACTGGTTCGAGGTCGATCTTGTTCGGCTGTTTTCGGCGTCTTGACGCCCGCGCAATGCGAGCTTGTACCTCTGCACTCGCCGAGATATGGCCACCTGTGTTGCCACCGAAACGATCTGAAGAAGTCGTTCCTTGAAGACTCCTTTCAGAGCCATCGTTCCTCCGTCCCTTCCTCCCACGGCATGTGTCGCAAGTTCATCGATGAACTCGTAACCCTCCTCTCCAAGGCGGCCAAAGCTTTCCACGGCTAAGGTGGTANCCCGTGGTCGCAGGCTAACTTACCCTAAAAAGGTACGCTCAAATAAAATGGCCCCGAGGGGTCCGCAAGTCAATAGAAGTCAACGACAGATATTCTGGAGTCCTTCACTCCCCCTCNGAGCTTCTCGTTCGTGCGTATGCCATGTTCCTGGCCTCTTGACCTCCGTAGGGGTTGTCCCGCGTGGGTGGTACCGCCTCCTGGGGGAGGTGCTCCAGAGACTCCATGAACTTTTCAAGTTGTATCTTGTTGTGTATCGAACAAATGCGTTTTTGTTTTTTTCCCTGAATGCACGCTTTGCTCGGCACACAATCGGTTGACTTGGTTTTGCTCACCGTTGTTGTTGTTGTTGTTGTTGTTGTTGTTGTTGTTGTTGTTGTTGTTGTTGTTGTCTCCACATTGAAAAAAACCGTTCCGATCTCTCGCTACCCAGTACCTTCGTATGTCCGCACTGATCCAACACTCGACGCGGTCGATGCCCGTGGTCGCAGGCTAACTTACCCTAAAAAGGTACGCTCAAATAAAATGGCCCCGAGGGGTCCGCAAGTCAATAGAAGTCAACGACAGATATTCTGGAGTCCTTCACTCCCCCTCCGCGCTATGCGAGGTAACAACTGAGACTAGGAGTCACCATCACGGGCCGGAGAGAATGAGGTACACCCCCTTGGTTCAATATTGGTACTTCACAGCGCAAGCAGAGACAAGGCCATCTGGCACAGAAAAAGAGAGAAACAGAGAAAAAGAGAAAAAAATAAGGAAAAGAGAAACTGAAATAAAAAGAGCGAGGACAAAAAGGGACCAGGCCGAAAATAACAAGAATAAGCGAAAGAAAGGGCACCCGGTGGAGAGCAGCAGCGGTACAAGCCGAGAGCACCACGCAATGTCTCGGTTTGGACCAAGAACGGACTAAACTCGGCTTCTGCCGGTTGCCCATCTCCGCAATAGACCTAGACGTGAGTCTGGCAGGTCTTGCTAGCGTTCTCAGTGATGTTGGAACGCCCGCCGTGCGCCTGCCCGACCCTTGTGTCAAATTCCCCGATCGGAGAAAGGATCACGCCGGTTTTTTTTTGCTCTTGCTCCTTTCCCCGATCGGGTTCCAGAAGATGGAAATATTCGGAACAAATGCATACGGGTCGGAGTGAACGGCACTAAATACTAGTGCTGTGAGCGCTGATTTTAGGTGAAGACAAAAAAAAAATCGGCACGCAAGAACCCAGTTCGAGGAAGTTGTCTTCTGATTGTAACGGCCCTTTCTTTTTTTTTTTCATTGTACCAACAACCGTCGTGCCTACGGTAAACTACGAAGTTTTCCCCCCGGGGAGGGAATCGTTTTTTTTCTAAAACCAAACCCCTCGGGAGGATATTGACGTAGCGCGTTTTTTTTTTTTTTTTCCAAAGCTACCCCGGGGGGAATGCCCACCCCGGGGGGTTGTGCAAATAATAGTAATGGTCCACACACCATACGCACAGAGAGTAGCGAAACTGAGGTGGATAAGGTATAGGAGCAAGCATTCAACAAGCAGAGGGAGGAGAAACGTAAGAGCAACGAAGGCGAAGAGAAAAACGACGGCAAGGAGGACAGCAGCTGGGGGAGCTTGTCTCGTCCCGCGAGTGATCCCAAGAAGAGGAAGGGCCCGCCTTCCAGAGAGTACCCACCAGCTCGAAGCGCAGGTCTACCAATCATGCTATTTGTTCTCGGCGATGCAACAAAATTGACTCCGAAAAAAAGGGAAATATACCCTCACCGGGGGGAACTCTTGAGTGAAATGGTACCCTAGGGGGAAATAGAAATATCCGGGGGGACCTTTAGTTTTTGGTCGAAAACAATCTACCCCGGGGCTATATCGACGAAACCATGCTTCCAGGCCGAAAAGGTAATGGGGGGGGGGGTGTACTCATAGTCGTGCATGCCCTAGTCGTTAGATCATTGACCTCGCATCCCTACAAAGCCGGGACGAAGCACGCCAGGTTCTCACCGCACCAGGCTCTCACATCACCAAGCGCGAAGTGCCGTGAGATATTCGGCGAGTCGCATGAAGGATGCGCTGCATCTTGCCAAGGGTGTTCGGCATCTTGTGCTTAGTTCCTTGCATACGGATGACAGCTGCGTATGACTGAATTTATTTTCTGGTGCTTCACTTCCAGCGACAGTTGTAAGCTCTGTGTAACTGCCTCGAGGGTGCTTGACCATTTTAACACAACGTGGTGCGATCATCCCCCTTGCGCGGAGCGAGGGTTCTCCACCCCGCACAACATGGTCTACTCGACCACCATATTATTATCGTTACCGCCAAAAAAAAGAGGTAAAAAAAAAAAGCGGTAACCTGGTTGCCGCGTTCACGACGTGAAATGGCTTTTTTGCAACGTCGTTGCCAAGCGACGAAACCCCAACCAACAACATATTGGTGAAATTGAGAGCGAAGCATGAAATTGGGAGCGAGAGCCAAAAAATTGAAAATTCGGGTCCAGACGCCTCTTGCCATCTCTTGGGAGTAGAGGGCGGGCTCTTCCAAGAAGCGGCCCAAATTGAAGGTCTCATCAGCAGCGTCACGAGCATATGCGTGTCATCGTCATCGGATGCTGCAGGCAGGAGCTAGACACGTTGCTAGATTTCCCCAGATTGGCTATTCCTGCCTCAAACTGTTGGAGGGCGGTGTAGCCTCGGGGGGTGGCCTCTGCTGTAGCTTCTGCTCGCTGCTGTAACTCCACATCTCGAGACTTCCACAGGATGACCAGGGTATATGCTTGTAGCTACGGGCTGGCCCTTCAATTCAAGCTACACAGCAAGCTCCACCTCTCAGTGGTAGTCCGGCTACAGCGTATCGCGCAATCTCGCTCTCAATCAGATGCTACGCTCTCAATCAGGCGAATATGTTGTT